TCTTAGAGATAAGAAAAATCAAAATCAGGACAATAAACACGCAATATTTCTGTAGGTATGTGAATGAATTTTTCCGTAAAAACCGAGGAGAAAGAATAGAAGTTCATTTAACGTTACATTAATTTCCATGTTAAATTATTAGATATTTTCATCGAGATAGTGTCCATTGTTAATTTTCCACTTAGCGTTTCCTGTTTATTTTAACCGGGTTGGAATTAATAAATGATTTTGTGGTGCTTAACTTGTCAGCTATTGTACTAATTTGACATAATTACGTTAAAAAATTTTTGTTTAGTCATGTCGCGTTACGAACGCTAGTTGTTTCGCTCCGAACACGTTGCACCTGAAATATATGATGGTAATAGGGCCGGACTAGACAGTTTCTGCTGTTTAAACTCTTTAAAAGGGATCCCAAAAATTACACAATGTCTATAAAATTTTGAAGTTATACTTCTATACGCACGGTCGACGTTGGAAATTTGCATGGGAGTGAATCTGTGAAACCATTACATATTTAAGATAACGAGTACGAGAGAGACAGAAGATATATTTTCTCTCTCTTCCTCTCTCGAGAATAAAAGTGTTCCTTTTGTATATATATATATATATATATATATATATATATATATATATATATATATATATATATATATATATATATATTAATATTATTATTTATGTGATATGTTTTGTATTATTTATTAAACGTTTATAATTATTTCAGGCTTTTGTATTTCAAAAATAATCACTGTTTTACCGAGAACTGTTAATTTTGAAATCCGTTAGTGTCATGTCTAATTGGCAAATCCTTTATGTGTTTGGTTCATACGCTGTTGTTTGTGAGTTCGAATCCCAATATGAATTTCCTTTTTTATTTTTGAAATATTTAAAAACCTTACGTTAATCTTATTAAATATATGTAATATGCGCAAAAATGCTAAATTTTAAAATAAAATGAAAATTTACAACATATTCCGAGTTGTTGGTTTTTTATTTTTATCTTCGTTAAGTAAGTTATGTATATTGGAAGTTTTAAATGCTTATGAATATTGCATTTTAATTTAAATTGTATTATTATATTGAATTATGTTGCAGTGTATTTATTGTATTGTAATTTTTATATTTATAACAAAATAAACAATGCATTTTACTGCAGAGTATGTGTAATTTTTTTTGCATTCGACTCCTTTTATACATATATGAAAATAAAAATATATATTTTCATTAAAATATTGATACAATCCTTTATTTACTATAGTCCCGTTACAGGTCAAATGTTTATATACAGCAAACGATGCACCATATACCTATATAACTAATTCTTTTTCTCTTTCTGCTCTCTCTTAGCATTACATATGTAATGATTGTGCAGATTGACTCCCATATAGGGAGTCGCGTATATAGAAGGCGGACGCGTGTATAGAAGTATAACTTCTACCGGCAGTGCCATTGGACTGTCGCACCCGTTTTTTTTTATATAAGACACAGTTGCATCCACTAATATGGTTATTAGCGAGGGATCTGTACAATTTTCCAAGTAATACATTACATATATTACATGGTTGCAAAAAAGACATTGCTACAAAATAGTAATAAAATATATACAATTTGATACAAACAAAAATAAAATCTTATGGAAAACATTTATAGATTTTAAATAATCTATTAAGTTCTTGGAATAACTATTTTGACCTAACACAACTGATAAATTTGAATATATCATCATCATCATCAGTAGCTCAACAACCCTTTCTGAGTCCTGGCTTGTTCTAGGATTTTCCGCCATTCTGTTCTGTTCATTGCTTTGTTTTTCCAGTTGGTAATCTTAAGTGTTTTCAGATCTTGTTCCACTTGTTCCATGTATCTAAGTTTGGGTCTTCCCTTTGACCTTCTCCGTACTGGTGTTTGCCTCATTATATATTTTGGTGTTTCAGTCTCCAACATCCTTTCAACATGGCCATTCTAGCGCAGACGTCCGATCTTTATGGATGTTATGACCCCGGGTCATTGTATGCTGTGTATAATTCAAAATTATATCTTCTGCACCATATGTCATTTTCTATGACCCCCTTTTATATGTGTCTAAGGATTTTTTGTTCAAACGTACCTAATAGGTTCTCGTCGGTTTTAGAGAGTTTCCATGTCTCTGATACATATACAAGGACCGGTTTTATCAGGGTTTTGTATATTTTTCATTCGTTTTTTCTTATGATGTTGTTAGATCTTAGATGTTTAATTAGTCCATTATATGTTTTATTAGCGATATGTATTCTCTCTTAAGTCTCTTAACTTCTTCACTGACATTGTTATCTGCAGTAACTACTAAACATAGATATGTAAAATTTGCACGCTTTCGATGTTATGATCTACAATTAGAGGCATTTGAAATGTGGTGCTACCGATGTATGTTAAGGGTCTCATATGAGACCTCATATATATATATATATACCACACAAGTAATATAACTATTCTGCAGAGGCTAAGAAAAGACAAAGAAATTATTAACACCGTTGTTTTGTATAAATCTTAGAGGTCCCTGGTTAAATGAAATTAAAATAATAATCGAAGTAAAAATGCAATATTTTTACTGCAAATAAGAGTATCTAAAAGTAGCAAATAATTTTGTGAATAAATTATGATAATTAACTAGCTTTAACTTATTACTGTTATCTGTACAAAAAACATAGACTTACTCCTTTAAATACTGGTGTGTTGATTGTAGCAGGCAGAAGAATTAGTCACTGCACGTCACGACAACGTTAAGGATCGCCCGGCGCTGAGGCACAAAAGAGGAGTTAACCGATACACTCGATGTTTTAAGTACGCTGTCTCGTGATGAAGTGTTTCTTGAGTTGGTCAGAAAAAACTTGGTGGTTCATGGGACAAGTGCACCCCGATAAATCAGTGCTATTTTAATGCGCTATGAATGGCGATAATTCTAACTATATAGTCACAGTAATATGATACTTTACACGTTTTGCGTGTGTTGGCGACACAATTATCTTCAGGATAACAAAAGAAGTCAAATTCTTTGAATAAACTAAATGTGTTTAAGCTAGTTTAACAATAAGATTTTACTGAATAACAGGAAACAATATATTTTAAAGCAAATAAATAAACAAAGAATATACCAATAAATTAGATCATATTAGAGTACAGTAAAAGAAAGTAAAAAATTGTAAAATATGAAAATATATACTACATATTTTCCCAAATAACCGTCAAAACAGAAATTTGGCTTAATTTGGCCACATCATGTGTAATAATAAATACCGACTTCTACAGTTGATTCTACAGGCAAGATTAAAGGTAAGAGATGCCCTGGAAGTAGACGTTTATCCTGGCTGGCCAATATTGGGAAGTCGACTGGTCTAACGTCAACTGATCTATTCTGAGCTGCTGTGAATAGAATAAGATGGGTCAATGTGGTCTCTAGCATCTCTAGAAGATAGGCACATTTAGAAGAACTTATGGATATTGTTGATTTTTAAATTTGTCTCATTCTAAGATATGTTTTACTGTTAAGGTTGTATTGCAGTACTCGCATAATCGTGAGTTCATCATCATCATCAACCTGCATGTGTCCACTGCTGGACATAGGTCTCCCTGAGCTGTTTTAATCTGTTTCTGTCTTGTGCGGTTTGCATCCAGTTATTGCCAACACGCTTATATAGTTTATAAGTTAGTGTAGCGGTAGATGGTTATCAGTAAGAGGGGCAAATTCATTACAAGAATCTAGATAAAAAATGAAGATATTGAGCAAGTGGACAAAATAAAATACTTAGGAGTCTGGATTACGGAAGATCTGAATCCGAAATCAGAAATTCGCTTAAGAATAGAGCAATTAAAAGCAGCCTTTTAGAAAAGCCTGGACTGTTAATGTTGACTTAATGAGAAAACTGTAAGCTTTTGAGATGTGGCTTTTTAGGAGAATTTTGAGAAAATTCCATGAACCGATCATATTACGAACGAAATGGTGTTGCACAGAATGGGAAGAGGCAGAGAACTTTTCACCACCATTAAAAGGCGAAAGACAGCATATTTGGCGCAGATACTTAGGAATGATAAGTACGAGTTGTTTCAGCTGATTATGAAGGGTTAAATCGAAGGAAAAAGGGGTCTTGGTAGACGACAGATATCCTGTATAGCCAACCTTCATTAGTTTAGATGACACTAGAAGAAGAAGTATAGCGGTGGTCTATTTGGCATTCTGTCAATGCTCTTAAAGTTTCCTGATGGTTTGATCGAATCCTTTCTCGTAGTCGACACATATGTACACAGTGCCAATGGTGTGTTGTATTCTGCAGACCTCTCTATCAAGTGGTCGTTAGTACTCTATCCGGATCTAAATCCAGTCTTTTTTTAATCATTGTTGTAAAAGGTTTATATATGTGTGAAGGCAAACTGATAGGATGGTAGTTTTTTTAGATCTGTTAGGTCTTCTTGCTTGTGTAATAAAATAATGACTGCATTGTTCCATTGAGAATGAGTTTTTCCTTGAATACGTAAGATGTTTATGGTCAAGAATTTCTGGGTCAGATCAATCTTCCCAGTTGACAGGTTGTCTGTCCACTCTCTGGTCTTCAAACAGCACTTGAGCATATCTTTTATATATGTTGCGGATGTTGTAGATGCTTTCTTTGTGATACCAATAATATCTTCAATCTGTCTATGAACGTTTACATTGTAATGCAGGGCATGTCGTAGAAGTTGCAATTGCAAATGACTCATGTATTAGAGAAGAATTAATGTTTTTTATTATAAATTGTGGCTGTTCACATACAGAATTCATATGTATATTAAAATAGTCCACCTGACGAAAGTGTGTTAATGCCAAAATCCAATGATTAGTGAGTAAAAAACTGTATAAATAATGGTTTTCAACGCTTTATTTATAGATTTGTTTTATTACGACTTATTTTATTCCATATTTTGTGTTAAATACTTTTAACTCATCTATTGATTTATGCATACAATCCTACTAAAATACCTTTATTTATTCAGTTCGCCTCTGGTTGTTGATTACAGGCAACTGCCTGCTTATTACTATGATTATTTTTCGTGAAACGTTTCTTTAACATTGTTTTCTTTGCTGCAAGAATATTATGTTTAAGGTCGATAATGATTTATGGTTTCCTGTTTGAATTTTTACACCTTAGAAAATAATACTGATGGAATTAGGCAGCCGTGCATATTTTAACTCGCAGTAACTTGGCTGATTATTGTAATTGCCTTTCATTGAGGGGACATTTTTGAGAACATTTACAAATAAGGGACGAAAGTTCCGCTCGTTAATTGCATTGCCGGTTAGAAGTAGAATTTTTATATAGTCCAATATATTCCAATGCGAATATACGTACATTTCTAGATATGCTGAGATTCATGATTCGTCAGAAGCCTTAAAAAACCTAAACTATGACTGTAGGCTGAGAATGTAAGAGAATAAAAAAAATTGATTATATGTCATATATTCAATTTTTCAATTTTTAACCAAACATAAATAAAAAAGATATATAAAACAAAAAACAATAACATAAGCTGACAGAATATTCAGAATATTCACTTAAGAAATAAAATAAGAAATATAGATCTTATTCTTCTGCTTCAGCCTATATTCGTCAACTGCTGGACATAGGCCTTTTCCATTTGCTTCCATTAATTTCTACTCTTGGCAATTCTCATCCACTGCTTGCCCGCGACTTGTTCGATATTATCTGCCAATCTCTTCTGTGGTCTGCCTTCTCCTCGCCTGTTCTCTCTTGGTCTCCATTTTGTTAATATCTGTGTTCATTTTTCGGTATTATCTCGGGCAACATGTTCGAACCATTGCCACTTAAGCCTTGCTATACGTTCTGCGACATCAGTAATCTTTGTTCTTTCCCGAATGTAGATATTTCGGATCCTGTCTCTCAAACTAATCCCTAGCATGGCCCTCTACATCGCTCTTTGGGTTGTACTGAGCTGCTCTAACGTTTTCTTTGTGAAAGCTATGGTCTCCAGTCCATATGCAGTTACAGGCAAGGTACATTTGTCATAAACTCTGTGGTTATGTCAATGTTGTTTTCTGCGAGAAGCTTGCTAATGTATTCGCTCTTGCTTCGATTAATACATTCAATGTTTATGTGGCATACTTGGATTGTTGGTCTAATTGTCAGATGGTTCTGAAAAGAAGCATTTTTTTGTTGGTTGTATGGTTGTTTGTGATTTGGTCGCCAGGAGATCTGGAAAACGGTCTGACGGTTCGATTTTACTGCTCATTTAGTTTTTTTATACCCAAGGTGCACTACGAGGAGACGAGACAGCTTTACGCACCCAATTTTAGATGTATAAAGGAGACTAAAAAGTGGAAACGACCAGACGAAAAGTTTAATAAAATCAACTATAAACATTAAAGATATAATCTACGGGATTCTAAACAGATTGGTAGTGATATATGTAAGCAACGCGTTGGTTAAAAACCAGAGAAAGAAGAATTAGAACGAAGCTAGTGAAAAACGTTAATTAATTCCAAAAAATAACAGACACAAAAGCAGAAAGAGAATAGAATAAGAAAACAAAGCATTGGAATAATAACTTTTAGGAAAGCTATCAGAGAAGCAGTGCAAAAACTGTTAATACAGTATGCGTATAGGTATAGGTATAGGCGTATAGGTTTAGGTTGATGCGCGTTAATTGTAAATAAAAAAAAAAGTATGCGTATATTAAATATGGATATCAGTGATACGCCAGAAACAAAACTTAAAAAAGAACGCACTACAACATGTTCTACATATTAGTGTTGCGTAACGAGTACTTAGGTATACAAACAAAATACTCAAATAAATGCCGTTACTATAACGATGAAATCGCCGGAAAAGTGACCGGTTACTACTCCTGGGAAAGTACTTCCATTGAACCATCCTAGCATTTTTAATTTTATGATTGGAAAATCTGTTAGCCATTGTATAACAAATATGAATTGCTATGTAAGACATACCTCACCTGCATTTCTAGTAGATATAAATTAAACTTGAAGTCAAACTGCACACAATTATTTGTATTATGTCTTAATCCCATTTAATTATATTGAAGTATTTATATCCGTAACTGACACATAAGTATCTGTATCAAGGAAAATGACACTTGAAAATAAACTAGTAGTCGCATATAATTATTGTAAATAACTATGTGAAACTGGAAAAATAAGACTTGAGAATGAAATAGTAGATGCATATGATTGTTGATTTTGCACTGTTCTTTATTAAAATGTACTTAATCAGTAGTTCTCATACTGCTTCCTTGTGGGATGTGGGAAGTTAAATATCGCGTTTACATGGGATTAAGCAGCAATTTTAACTAATATTTGACGTTTCGATTTTCACTACGGAAATCGTTTAAAAAAAAAGAAAATTCTGCTAAAAGGTATAACCAATAAGTTGTTATGATTTTCAAAACTGAATGTTGACTTACTTGGCCTCGATCTTGTAAACAATAGCCTGTTTTTGGTTAAACACAATTCTGAGGATGGAGTTTTTACCACAGGAATATCAAATTATAACTGTTTTGTGTTTTTTGTATTTTTTGTTTGTTTAATGTGTGTTTACGTAGATTGTATGTTTATGTATTGTGTGTTGCATATGTATTGTGTATAAATTGCCATGAGATCTCTCCTACTTCCTATTAATCCGCTCTTGTAGGAATGTTCTTGTTGTTGACTTCTTTTAGTATTGGCAACCAGAGTCTGTTACATTTTACTGATGGACTTGCTACACATTTTTACTGATTAAGTACGAGAGCTGCTTTTTTGGTACATCTCAGTTTTTTGGTTGTTTTGAATGTTGTTTTGAGGTTGTACTTATTTCCTATCCTTTTAAATTTTTGTGTGAGTTGTACCTAATTTAAATATTGGTGTGGGTTGGTTTTCGTAAACTTTGGTTGTATATCCTGTGCAATTTAAGAAACAATAAGGAGGAGAACAATTAAAAAATCTTCCAAGAAACGCCATAGTTAAGCTGACACATCTAATAAATGCTGAAATATTTGAATCATACGTTGCGAAATAGATATTTCAGAGTAAAACAAGAAGAAGTGTACACCGATTTAAGAGAGATCAAAGCTGGCGTGCCACAAGGGAGTGCATTAGATCCGGTCCTCTACCTATTCTATACGTGTGACATTCTAGAGCTAGAACAAAATAATATTGCCACCCTCGTTAATGATACAGCCATACTAGTGATAGGAGACACTAGTGAAGAAGCGACTGATAAGTTTAACTATCAACAAATACAATACATACCTGGACCAGAAAATGGCGAATAAAATTAAGTGAGACTAAATCTGCACAAATTAACTTTACCAATAAAAAAATGGAAAATTTCACAATTAGAATAAATAATACCCAAATTCCATATGCAATATCAGCAGAATACTTGGGCTTCACCCAAGATTCGAGGCTGCGCTGGAAAGTCCATGTCAAAAAGAAAAGTGGGGAGCTTGATATTAGATATAAAAGATTGTATTGGCTGATTGGAAAAAATTCAACATTATCCATTGATAATAAATTATTCGTTTACAAGGAAGTACTGAGGCCAGTATGGGTATATATGTGCCAACTTTGGAGCTGTATCAGAGCTAGTAGTATTATCCAGAGATTTCAAAACAAAGTACTGAGTAATATTGATGTTTGTATATCCGTATATACAGATGTATAACATTGTATATCCGTAACAGCAACCTCCACCAGTACCTGGTTAAGAAAACTGTTACCGAAGTAATCAAGAGAACAACAGCAAGTTACCAGCAGAGATGAATAGTCATGTGAATGTCGGGGCAATCCAGCTTCTTGACAACACTGAACTAAACAGAAAACTCATAAGGAAAAAACTTTGAGTTTTTGAGTGCAAATGTGTAACAGTTTAGTATACAAAGTAGAGTATAGTGCTATGATGTTATTGCATGTTAGTTGCAGTGCATTAGTTGATAGATAAAATAAGAGTAAGCCAAAGGGTAAGCACTTAGAGTTAAGTATTGGCTGTTTATTAGGTCAGGTCAAAAATTAACTGATAACTGGTCATTTGTGACCAAATAGCAGTATACAAACATCGTACAGGTGCTATAAAAGAAAACTATCTAAACCATAGTATGGGTTTAGATAGGTTTAGATAGATAAAAGAAAACTCTTTTTTGTAATTTAAAAATAACATCAGATTGGGCAGCTGTACTAGAACCCCAAAATGTTGAAAGATGCTAAATTGATTTCCTTCGAAACAGATCTGATTGCATAGCAAGCTGAGGCTAGTTTTTTACTAACAAATCGATTTGAAGGGGCCATTTAAGGTTGCTGTCTATAAAAATACCAAGAAATTTTACAACGATACTAATCTAGCTGTTATTCAGAAGCAAGGGTTGAAGAGGTCTTTTATAGGATAATGCTACTGTCTTCACTGATAATCCAAGTAGATGAGAATTATATTTGCATGAAGAGTTGCAATATTCGAGTTTCTCCAGGAAATACTGGTATCATCAGCAAAAAGAAAAAGTTTTCCATCGATTTTTAAGTTAGTGATGTCATTTATAAAGATAAGGAAAAGTAGTACTTTTAGTACTAGTAGTATTGAACCTTGTGGTACTCCACATATAATAAATACTCTTTCGAATAGAGTCAGTATCATTTGCTCTAACTAGTTTTTTCCTATTCCTCAAGTAAGATTAAAACAAATTCAAAGAAATACCTCGAATTTCGTAGAAATTTAGTTTTTTTATCCAAATGTGATTTACACGATCAAAAGCTTTGGCATAATCACAAAAACAGTATATAAAGATTATTCTTTAGGGCTTGATAGATCTCATGTAGTACAGAAAACATAGCATCGCTGGTACATTTATTAGATAAAAAGCCGAACTGACTTTTGATAGAATGTGATAAAATGTTGTTTTCAACGAAAAAGAACATAAGTCGGGCTTTTATAAGTCTTTTAGTAATTTTGGAGAGGATCAGTAATAAGGCAACAGTAGGAAGGTCTGTAGTTGCAGACATTCGTTTTTTCACCATCCTTATGAAGATGAATAATAATGGATGTCTTTAGGCACTCTGCAAATATACCTTTTTCAACGGAATCGTTAGTGAGATCAGGACTTCCAACACGTTTTTTGGGAGATTTAAAAAAAAATTATGGATAGTCTATCAGTATTACATGCAAATTTGCTTTTGATACTACTGATTGTTTAGATCAGTTTAGAATTAGTAACTGGTCTTATAAAGAATGAATTCGAGACCTTTTTTGAATTGGGGATATAGGAAATAGGATCTTGTTTTGTCAAAATAGTTGATGTTGTATTTTTACTCACGTTAACGAAGTATTTATTTAGATTTTTAGGGTTTGAAAGAAAAAATGTTTCAGCTGTATTAGTTTTATTATGAAGGTTGTTTATTACGGACCAAGTTTTTCTTGCAACATTTTTGGAACTTCCCAGACGATTCTGATGAGTACACTTTTCTAGCTGTTTTGATAAGTTTTAGATAATTTCATCTATAATGAATAGAGAAGAGCATTTATGCAAGCAGCATAATTTGCATATTTTGCTTATTTTTTAGAAAAAACTGTCATATAGTGCATTATTTTATACATGAATACACAGAGATAAATATTTGCAAAAGTACGGAATCATCATTGTTCCATACTTTAGTAGAATTTTATTTTTATTTTCTAAGCGTTTGTTGTTTTTACCTAACACATTTCGTTTATTGTTGTGTGGTACCTCAAGAGGGTGGAGCTCAGAGAAAGTTTTATAATTTTTATTTAGTTGATTATTTTGTCCAAACTAAAATTTTTATCATGCCAAAAGTGAGTGTTCCGTTTTGAAATAAACGTTACAAAGAATTATATTTGGACAATGGTATGCGGAACAATATTTGTCAATAATTATAATAAAGACAATAATTGTACAATTATTGTAAGTACTCTTTTAACATTTCGTTTGGAATTAGTTTAATTATCTCAACAAATTAAAATTATTTTAAAATATGATTTACAAAAAAAAAGTTGTGATTAATTTAGATTTAAATTTGATAAAAAAAATAACATACTCCTTGTAAGAAATTTGACTTTTTGAAATAATTATTATTTTCAAATAATAATCGTATTTTAACAAATTTTAAACCAAATTGTTTTGGAACTAATGCAGTTCTTTTGTTACAGCTAAACAGTCCACGACGCTGCAAACAATTAAAGCTTCTGAGGAGAAAGTGCAAATCTCTTTATTCCGATGTTTTGAGACGTCCTTAAAAACTTAGTTAAACAACAAATGTTTAATGAAGATCTTTGTCGTGCATTGGTAGCATCAAATATTTCATTGTCAAATGATAATTTAAAATTTTTTCTACAGAAATATTTCAAAATTAACATTCCAAGCTACACAACGTTAACAAGGAGTATCATCAATTCTTTGGATTCTGCGGTGACTGGAAAAACCAAAGTAGTTGAAAATAATTATGTTTACTTATGCATGGATAAAACTACTAATTCCACTGGACGTTAGGTATATATCTCATTTATTGATTGGAATTTTTAAGCAACAGTCTTGCTCAAAAGCTCATTTAATTACCTGCAAACAGATATAAAATAACGAATGCTTTATCAGTCATAAGAAGAATTGGAAAACTTATTTCTACCAGACCTCATTCCTTGTGAAAAGTTCTTGCTGTTCTTATGTGATACTGTATCCTATATGGTCAAAGCAGGACAACACATTAATATTTTATTCAAAAGTTCAACATGTAACATGTTTGGCGAATGGTGTTAATAGAATTGCGGAAGAAATTAGAAAATCTTTTTCTGGTATTAATGAACATGTATTAATATAAATAAAAGTTTTTGTCAAAGCACCTTTGAGAATTTAGTATTACAAGATCAAACTTCCCAATCTTCCTCTTCCTCCTAAAGCAGTTATAACAAGATGGAGGACCTGGTTGGACACATCATTTTTTATTGTACCCATTTTACTGATCTAAATCAGTTATACTGATATGACTAATGAAAATTGTCAAGCTCTTGTTGATCCAAAATAAACTAGTACCTCAACAACTAACATTTATTCTGAGCTATTATGCTTGTGTATTAGATGATTTTAAAGTTGGAATCAATTAGGCTGTCTTTAGTAGAATCTGTAAGTTAAATTAAAAGCTTGGAAAAATTTACTAACAGTGTTAGTAGCTATGGTGGTTAGTCGAATACGAAATATGCAATTAAATATAAGAGTAAACAATATCAGATATCTCGATAGTTGGATAAATGAAAATCTAGATCCAGACATAGAGATATGTAGCAGGATTAAGCAATCCAGAACAGCATTTACTAATATGAGAACCTTGCTAAGCAATAGCAGCCTTAACGCTTATACTGCTATATGGTATAGAAACCTGGACCATAAAAGTCAATGTAATGAACCGACTGGAGGCCTTTGAAATGTGGGTATTTAGAAGACTAATTAAAATTCATTGGACAGATCACACAACAAATGTCGAAGTATCAAATCTAATGGGCAGAGAACGAGAATTGTCGCCAATAATAAAAAGAAGAAAAACGGCTTATCTGGGTCATATATTTCGAAATTCCAAATACCAGTTCTGAAAGCTTATTATGGAAGGGAAGATAGAAGGAAAACGGTGCATCGGAAGAAAGAAATACTCATGACTTAAAAACATAAGGGATTAAACAAACCTCGATGCTCATGCATTCTTTAGAGCCACACAAGATCTAGAGGAATATGCCATAATTGACGCCAACGTCCACTAATTGGAGAGGGCACCATAAGAAGAAGAATGAACCATAGTTTAGGAAATTCAAAACGGACAAAATTCTTCTATGAATGTGAAATGCTTAATGACATGAGGCGAGCTTACAGTGACAACTGTAAGCGATCTTTAGAGCCACACAAGATCGAGAGGAATATGCCATAATTGACGCCAACATCTACTAATTGGATAGGGCACCATAAGAAGAAGCTATGACGCGAAAAGTAAAAAAAATTAAAATAGAAAAATGAAGGATATTTCTTTTTAGCTAATGTGGCTAAAATTCTTTCTGGAGACTTTGTAAAAAATATTAATATTGGAATTCGTTCACTAAATAGTTTAAAATACGCCCCAATCACATCTGTTGATGTAAAACACAGCTTTCCTGTTTACAAAATATGTGTACCTACCTACTAGATCGAAGACATAAATAGTTTTTTATAGACAATTCTAAAAAATCTTTGATTTATTTATTGTTTTTTTCAACAGCAGTGATAATAAATTTAAATACATCAGTGATACACTTATAAAATTATTAATTTGTTTATTATTTTTGTAAATAGTTCTTTTATAGAAAAAAATGTGGCATATAATGATAATATTTTTACATATTTTGGTAAAAATCCTTGAAATCTTTGCATATATAGGTATGAGCATATTTCCTTTTTTTGTTCATATCGAAGTTACAACGATCGAAATCCTATCTATTTGTAGGTATAGACAACTCTTCCAAAGCTAATGATGAAAATATTGGTACCGATCATTTTGCAGATTCAGATATTTCGCTTTTGCTTTAGCATCGACAAACATCTAGACCTAATGAGTAGGTAAAGGTCCAATTTAATAAATTGTTATTTTTTTATTTATTTGAATTTATGGTATTATGATTATTTCATAACTTCTTTATCTTTGCGTTTAAAAGCTGGAGCTGGAGTTGCCTTTATTTAAACGTAGCTATTATATATTCTATTTATACTTATGAAAAGGATAGCTATATGATTATAGCATAGAAACTTCTAAATATTGTTTAAAAAGTCATACCATTGGTAAAAAACATATTACTTAAAATAATATTTAGGCAACCCCTTTAAGGAGACACTTTAACTTAACAATGTGCTTTATTCTAAGATCTAATGTTTTAAATTTAGTATTAGGTAAATTATATTATACTTAGGATGCTTTGGATATATAGTATCACCTGTGTCTATATTTTTATGAAGCTCAAGCTATTGCAATTACGTTTTAGATTTTGATTATATGGTTAAAAAACTTACCCGCACCCGAACTTTGATGTCCAGCTAACCCCAGAACGGCTGCAGGTGAATGGCCACCGTTAGCGTTCATGCTTGCCGCCGCAGCGATGTTGTGCGGTAAAAAAGCCGCCGCCACGGCAGCTTGAGCGTTAAAATAAGCCATTCGGCTGGCAGCCATGGTCATGTGATGGTGGTTGAAGCCATGGTCCGAAGGGAAGCAAGTGGGAGCTTGCAAATGTCTTTGGGGATACACATTCGGCGTGATGGCTGAGACGGCGGCCGTGGGAGACCTGTGTTGGCTATCACTTAACCCCAGGAGTTCCTGGATGGCGAAAGGCGACCTTTGAGGCATTGTCTGAGACGGCTTGTTGAGGATACTTGGCGCCGTAACGTGTATAGTACTCTCTAAAGTTTCATTGTTCATTTTTCGTTGTATAAATTTGAAGTCAGTTACCGTCGGATAACGAACTTGCACACAATCGACATTTTCCCAACTCAAAATCAAGTTCTCGAACTAAATACCTCACTGTACAACCGAATCAACATCACAGTCTATTTTCCAAAAAAAATTGTTAATTTTGAACCCGCCGTTAAGTTTATTTTTTGATTAGGCGTCTCGAGATGAACCTTACATGGCCAAATATGAGAGTAAACTGACTATTTCGATTTGAAAAACGAGTCCTGTAAGGTCTCTTACATACAAAGATACTCCCTAATATTCAGATGAAAAGAACCCCTTAATGTAGGCGGGGCTTGGCTTCTACCAATAACTCACTAAAAGTACGGAGCTTATTCCGGCTACCGGGAATTGCGATATCGGACCGACTCTATCTCGCTCGACGGTCCAAATTCGCATGTCGTAGAGTAATTGAGGCGGAGTTACGTTCGATACAGTGGAGCGTTTTTCGCCTTTAAACCAAGCTCTAATACGAACTACATTCGCGTGTGTTGCACTACAATTACTGTCAAATAGTTTAGATGCTTTAATTAGTAGTGATGTGCTCAATTATGATTATTAGATTGGATTAATTGGCTCTGTTTTCGGATCGAGAGACAAATAGTTTTTTTAATCATCTAATTTGCCCGGAATTATTTTTGTTTTCGATTCAGACAATTGTTATGTAACAATAATAGGCTCGTTATTAATTTTGACATGTTGTCTCTCCGCTGGCTTGATGGAACGATAATTGGTTTTTGTTCGACTATTTCGGGTCATAATCAACGTTGCGAGATTGAAAAAGTTCCATACGATGGATGTGTATTCGTTGGTCGGATGTGTCGAAGTGATTTTTATATTCTTCTTTTTGTTCGTTACAGAATAGTGTTTTTAATCAGAACTTTAAAATAAATATATCCAGTTCTATATAATCGATTATTATTGTACAAACTCATTTCCTAATACATATGTTTCATGTTGGGTAAATCGTATGGTCCTATTTTTTTGCTTAAATTGCTTCGAAATATTAGTAGAAAAAATAATTTAACTATGCGACCACTTCACAAGTGAAGGCTATGTTTTTTATTAAACAATTTGTTAAGACAAGATTAAAATCGATTGCAAATTGAAAAAAAAAATATTATAATTGCAAAATTAGCAAAAACTATTAAAAAGGGTCAAAAATTAATGTTTTTTCAACAATCTTTTTCATATATTTAAAAGCAACATCAAACCTTTAAAATTTAGGTACTTAAAAAATATACAGAGTGGCCCAAAATTCTGGAAACGGCTAATTATCTCGTAAAATGCTAATCATAATTGTACAAAATTTGAGATACACCTATTTTGGGATACAGAGATTCCATATTTGATATTTACAATGTTGCCAGATTTGCCGTTTTTCTTATATTATTAGTAACTTTGGTTTTTCAAGTACATCACCCTGTATATTCAGTCATTATTACAATCTCCTATTTAATACGAGTTCAACCATTTGTAACACTTATGATTTTATGTAATCTGGAAGGTCACAAATACATAAAACCGAAGTCTGGCAACGCCTAAATTGTTTCAATAAATTTTTTAATACTAACTATTTTCAAATACATTAAAACGTAACAATTGATAGTTTAGAACATTTTTTAATATAGTAGTTACGTTATTAAGTGTTCAAAATGTGCTCAATTTGTGAGTTGACAGCACCCTAATCGATGGTAGAAGGCGTCTACCACATGTCTCCATGATTGTCTATAAATTATTCGAGATTCATTGATAATTCGTTGCCTTAGCTTTGCAAGACTTGCTGGTTAAGTTTTGTAAACTGACTTTTTCAAGTATCCCTAATAAAAATAATCTTTAGGATTGAAATCGGGTGAACGTGGAGGCCATTCAATTCTACCTTGTCTACCAATTTATCGTCCAGGAAGTATCTCATCCAAATATCGCCGAACATTTACACCAACTATCTGACGTTAAATTTCTTTCGACAAAAAATGACCCAATTGAATAAGTAACTACTATATCTGACCATACATTTAATTTTTGTGGTCTTTGAGTATGGTTTTCACGCATTCCGTCTTCGGTGTGAATTTACGTCACACCAGTACCTTAAATTGTATCGATTTACACTTCCACACAGTGTAAAAGTTGCTTCATCGGAAAAACATATTCTGTTAACGAAATTTTAATAATTTTCAATTTTATCCATCATTACCTCAGTAAACTCTAATCTACGACCAAAGTCATCTTCACTTAATTCTTGCAATCAGTTAATTGTGTATGATTTAAATTTATTTTTACGTAATAAACGTAAGACTGAAGAATGACCTACATCATGTACTTGTGCAACCCTGCCTGGGGATGTATGTGGATCTTTAACAAAACTTTGCTTATATCTGAAATTTTGTTGTCATTGATAACTCGTTTCGGTCAACCTGATCGGTATCTATCTTTTACTTCTCCAGATTCCTCAAATTGCCTTACAGTTTTTTGTACCGTTGTCTTATGAATAGGAGAACGGTTTAGAGAACACCATTTTAGAGAAACAATTTAAATTGCAGAACTTTTTGAACCACAACTACTGGTAATTTTAGTTTATAATTAAATGGTGAACAAATGTCAAAATCACAGCATTCTCAATTTAAATATTTAAATTTATTAAAATCTACATATTTTGCACTGTTTTATGTATTTAAGATCCTTCAGGCTACATAAAATCAAGTGAACATATGGTTGAACTCGTATTGAATAGCTGAACTCGTGTGAAATTCACACTGAATGCGTGAAAACCATACTCAAAGACCACAAAAAATAAATGTATGGTCAGTTATAGTAGGTACTTATTTAATTGAGCCATTTTTTATCGAAAGAAATTTAACGTCAGATAGTTGGTATAAATGTTCGGCGTTATTTAGATGAGATATTTCCCGGACGATAAATTGGTAGACAAAGTAGAATTGAATGGCCTCCACATTCAACCGATCTCAATCCTAAAGATTATTTTTATTAGAGATACTTGAAAAATTCAGTTTACAAAACTTAACCAGCAAGTCTTGCATAGCTAAGGCAATGAATTATCGATGAATCTCGAATAATTTCTAGACAATCATGGAGAAATGTGGTAGACGCCTTCTACCATCGATTAGGGTGCTGTAAACTCACAAATGGAGCACATTTTGAACACTTAATAACATAACTATTATGTTAAAAAATATTCTAAACTATCAATTGTTACGTTTTAATGTATTTAAAAATAGTTAGTATTAAAAAATGTATTGAAACAATTTAGGCGTTGCCAGACTTCTGTTTTATGTGTTTAAGACCTTCCAGACTACATAAAATCATAAGTGTTATATATGGTTGAACTCGTATTTAATAGGAGATTTCAATAATGATTGAATATATAGGGTGATGCATTTGAAAAACCAAAGTTACTAGTAATATAAGAGAAACTGAAAATCTGGCAACATTGCAAATACCAAATATGGAATCTTCGTATCCCAAAATAGGCGTATCTCAAATTTTGTATAATTATGTCTAGTAATTTACGAGATAATCAGCCGTTTCCAGACTTTTGGGCAACTCTGTATTTATATAAAAAAATATTAGGTACCTACACAAAATTTCAGCACAATCCATTACGCAGTAGTCGCTAAATATTTTTATAATCTAGGTATGTAAATTTTTAAAAAGAGTTATTCATTTTTAAAATAACGTAGAGCCGGCAAAAAAAGTTTTAAATACTTTGTACGCTTTAAACACATTTTAATTTTTTTTTTTTTGCTAAAAGTAGATACAAGCTTTCAAATAAAATTCGAATCAATTGAAATTTGTTGTATAAGAGAGCATACAGTTTAATCATCAGCGAGTTGACCCCTAAAAATCGTACAAACAAGCTGAATTTTGCAGAGAATATTAATTTTGGGACCTCAAAAAAGATGTAAAAAAGTTTACCACTTTTACCCTTAGGCTTCCCCCTAAAGCCCCACTTGCAAGGGGAAAACGCAATAAAATCGATTTATCACGAACCTATACACCGTACAAAAAATTTTTCAAATAAAAAATGTAGCTAAAATAATTTTAAACAAAAATATTTATAAGCATCTTTTGTGTAGAATGAATCATTCTCTTAGAAACAACGTTTGAAGCGACCGTCGTGAAATTATCTCAGCTACATTTTTTATTTGAAATATTTTTTTCTACGATGTACAGATTCTTGGTAAATCGATTTTTTGCATTTTTACTCCCCTGCGACGGAGGGTTTAGGGGAAGCCCGGGGGTAAAAGTGGTAAACTTTTTTACATCTTTTTTGGGGTCCAAAATTAATACGCTTTTCAACATTCAGCTTGTTCGTACGATTTTTAGAGGTTCAGTGGCATTTTCGTTTCTGACGACTGGAATAATGGGGAATTTTTTAACAACTCTACAATTTTTATGCTAAAAACCAAATACAATAACTTTTTCAATTTTCAATTACAACAGAACCTATTAAAAAATGGCTTAGATTAGAATATATTTTACAGTTGTGTCTTGTAGTATTATTTAATATCTTAATATCTTATTTTTTGTATATTTTTGTATTTAAAATAAAAAAATTATATAAATATTTAATTTTTTTTAATGCATTTTAAATAATTTTAAAAAATTCCTTAATAAGTAATCGATTCGGGATTCATTGAATTATTAAATAAAAAATTAATAATTTTTAAACTATTTAAATGCAAAAAAAATTTAATATTCATATAATTTTATTTGTGTTACTTAAAAATAAAAATATACAAAAAATAAATTAAATAATTTTATAAGATACAACATAAAATCTATTCTAATTTAACGTCTTTATCAGTACATTTAATTAATTGAAAATTGACAAATATATTCTACTTGTTTATTAGCTTACAAATTGCATACTGTTGTTTAGTTGTTTAAAAAATTCCCTAGCTTCTTCTACACAACGGATTTTAATTATGCGAATTTTATTTTTTTTT